TTTTCTGGAAGATCAAGTCCTTGCCAGGTGCTGGGACCCCCACACTCAGTGAATAATCTCTTTTGACCTAACATTTCATAATTCTCAAGTTTTGTCACCCTTCCCTCTATCCTGTGTAGCTCCTGTCCATCTCGCTTGGCTTCTACTCTTGGCCTGCTTCAGAGGCCATCAGATTTGTTCAATTACCCAGGCTCTCCCAAGCTCACCACACATCCTAAACCAGAGTCCTTCCCCCACTTTCTGCTAATTGCCCTTGGCATGTCATGGTCAAAGCTGGATGTCTGGATGCCATTTGGGGTCTGAAAACTGACACCTGGAGGGCTCCACTTCTCATGTGGCTGCAATCCAAAGGATGCATTTGCCTTCTTGATTTAGTTTTTGTTTTTTAATGGCCTAGTATCTCTCCTATCATTCCCTCCTAAAATCACTCTCGTACTATTTTCTTATTTTAGATAATAGTAGATTTGCCTCTTTACTTGTAAATGTCTCTCTTTCTCAGTCCAGACATTAACTCACCATTTCTTTTTCTCCATTTAGAGAGTAAGATGTCCTGGTGTCCATATTAATATGGAAGAACCTGCTAAAGTTCTCCAGAATTTTATTTGGTTTGCTTCTTTTGACTTCAATATTCAGCCTGGTCTCCACTCTAAGATGGTGTTTGGACACTTTCAGATGATGTTTCCCAACAGGGAATACAAAGACTCTGCAGGCACAGTCCTAGCTGGCTGCTTCTCTCACTGGGAACCAGCCAGATGCCCTCTGCCCTATTTTTCAGCCCATCGTCAGGCAGGGCTTGGGCTCTGGAATTCATCTGCTTGGGTTCAAATCCTGACATCACCACTATTGCTCTCTATAGCTTTGGTCAGTTGGCTTGTGAAGCTTCAGTTTCTTCCTTCTAAGACGGGGATGATAATCCTAGGTACCTCATCAGGATTGTCACGAGGATTAAAGAACTGGTATGTGTAAGTGAAACAGCATAGAGACTGGCACACACTAAATCATCAGCAATCACAATTTTTATTGCTGCTCTCGCACTTGGCAGAATCAGAACACAACTGAGAGCTTGTCTCAGTCTTGGATGATATGTGCTCCCCACCAGCAGTGGCTGAGCTGCAGTGAATACTGATGTTTGCAGGCATATAACCTTCCTCCCTGTCTTTTTCTCTTCTTCCTTTAGAGTCAAGACATCTTCAAAGGTTCGTCTACTACACACAGCAATCTATTTCTCCTCTTAGCTACTTTGTCTACAAGTCAACTGAACTAGCCAAAAGCTGATCTATGACATATTTTAAAAGCTAAGAGTTAGAAAGAACTGCCACAAAGTGCATTCCGGTCCTTTTAAACAGGGAGCCCTGTTGCCCTGGGAGTGAAAGTTGGCCTTCTTCACAGAGAGTTGGCTAGCACAGGTTGGGGTTTGGGAGCTGGGGTCAGCTGGACCACTAAAACAATTCTTGTACTCAGATTATCCTTCCAAGTGCATCCTGGACCTAACCATGATGCACCTCACCAAAGCTGCTTTTCCCTCTTACCCACACCTGCCCTACACAGGTTTCCTTTGGGGACAATTTGTTGAACTTTAAAATTTTTCATAATTTTTTGCAAATTTCTCTATATTAAAACAAAGAAAACTCATTGTAAACTATTATCAGTAATTATTATTGGTGGATTTATCATTTGTAAGCAATTATTAAAGCCATATGGTAGAGACTTCTCCAGAGTGAACAATGACAGTTTATAAGATATGACTAAGCCAGTTTATCAATATGAAATATAAACATTAGATAGTATTTGACCACAAAATATATGAGTTTTTTAACGTTTAAAAAGTGGTCAGCTATATTTATCTATCAATGAATAGATCAGAGTATGTAATGAAAAATCTCACTACCCATCCAAGTATTTGTATCTTAAACATGTATCAAATCTCCACTCAAAGCAAAGCACAGCTGAAGGAGATCCTCAGAGCAATCTACACAGTGGGAGAGGTAGACATGTGCAAAACATGCAAAGGATGGAAGAGAGTGTGGGGCACAAGGAAAGAATCGAGACCAAGGAAGAGGTAGCTGGCCTCAGTGTTCTAAACTAAATCCCTAAGGTGGGCCTCATTAAAACTCTCAGATTCAACAGTTTGGTTAAGAGATGAGAGTCTGGGGACAAGAGATAATCATTAAGATTTGGCCTCTGTGACACATGGGCAAGAGGCCCCAGTCATATCTTCTGTGCCCAGAGAGAAAGTTACACCCAATTCAAGGGTTCCCCTCATGCCTGGTAAGATCCAGATTCCTGTTCCAAACCCTTGCTGACTCTTGTGTAGAGACCTAGTTCCCAATACATCCATGAGTCTCTGATTTTATCCAAGTTGATGGTGCTCACGCCTGCAACATTCCCTCCACTGGCCACCAGCAACCCCCTGTCCATCCTCTGAGACTTTTCCTCTTCCCTGGCCTCTCCTTTCCCCTTCCCCAACCCCAGGTTCAAGGGCTCCTCCCTCCTTCTTCATAGCTCCCTGTGCTCCTTCTCTCTATACATTGACCACATTGTACTACTGTTACCTGTGTAATTGGGAGTGATATTCAAAATATTTAACAACTGGTGCAGCATAGGCAGCGCCCCATCAAAACCCTAACCCTAACCCTAACTCTCTGATGCTCTGTACCAGTGCAGGGTGACCACATCTCAGCCTGGTGGGAGGTGACTTTCGCCCACAAGACAATAAACCCTTTAAAAGTAAAGGCTGTGTTTTATTCACCAATATATTGCCAGTTCTCGGCACATGGGAGATGTTTAATAAGTGTTTGTGGATTGAATAAGTCTAAGGTGACTTGAAAAAAGCAAGATGATAAGGAGGTTGATAAGGGAGTGGGGCTCTGCTTTCAGTCACCTCAGCTTGTGGTCCTTACGTGTAATACCTACACCTCCGCCTTGCTCAGGTTTTGTATATCAGCATGACAGTCAAACTAGGCAAAACATAAAAGAAAATCACATTCTTGGATTTCAGAAGTTAAGCATAAACGTCCCCATAGGTTTAAGTTTTGATAACTAACTAAACATTTGTAAATTCCAGTCATTTATAAAACCTGTTACCTTCAGGAACAGCCCCCTTGAGTCTAGCATTTGTAAACCCATCTTCATTTATTTCACTCACACAAATCCTTACTATTTTTTAAAAATTTAACCAGTTCAACAGACGGTATTTTTAAGTGGTTGTTAAATTACGATATGTCCCTCTTGTATTACTGGGCGTTAATTAAAAGAACTTAGGCTTATTTTAAGAATACATAATTGATGAAAATTTCTCTTGGGACTCCAAAATTAAAACAGAGGTTAGATGGTCTGCTAGCAAAATCACACATCAGCCTCACTCTCAAGGCATCAATTATGCTGTGCGGGCTCATTACCAAACAGCTCTTGGTTCAAATGCAATTCTAAGGAGAGCACTCTAGGAAATATAGAATCTAAAGCTTGCACTTGGTACCAGATGCGCTCCTCCACAGACATTTCCGCTGCTATGGCTTTGTTTTATATTTCAGACTGGAGATTCATAAATGGAGACCAGTGCTAAATGCAATGTGTTTCTTTTTAGTTTTGTAGGATGTGCATGTAGTTTGTTATGGGTCTTAAAAAAAAAAAGACATTCCCAGAAGCATCATCCAATAGCAATAAAATATTGTTTTAATCAAAAGCTTAGTTGTGCTACATGAAAAGAAAGTACACAAAACCATTCAGCATGAAGGTCTGATGGTGAGTTCTTTAAATCTGTTGAAGGAGGAATGGATTTTGCAGGTACAGGAAAAATTAAGGGAAAAAATTGTCCTGGTGGGGAAAAAATAAGCAAAACTATGGATCTTATAATGAACCACATTCTACCAGGACAGATCTGCAGCAGGACAGTTTTGAAGGCACGTTATAGGGGAAAGCGTTGGATCAACTCAGAGAAAAATAATTCTATATCAAGCAGTAGACAAAGACAAGAACTGGACACTCCCAGCTTGGTGTTACTATGACTCTCCAAGAGGTTCATGGGCAAAGACACTGGCTACTTCTCCCGGCTTTGAACTGGAGGGTGCACTTGTGTCCAGTACTGTGGGGCTGCGGCTACCTCTTACAAAGTGACCATTATTGAATGAATCAATCAACCAAAATGAAGGTGATATTGGAGAACTCAAATGTGGGCATGGAAAATTGCTTTGCTTTTAAAGAACTGACAAGGGAGATTATATCTTATTTACCTAACATATATGGGAGGAAAGTGATGAACCTTCTTAATTGTTGTTTCTCTGTAATCATCACTAATGTCCTACATTTTATCATAGTACACATTTTACCAGGTTACCTGTATTTCTATATTAAAAATAAAATTCAGGGCCAGCCCCATGCCTAGTGATTAAGTTTGGCACACTCCACTTGAGTGGCCCAGGTTTGGCTCACAGGCATGGATCTACACCACTCGGAGGTGGCCATGCTGTGGCAGTGACCCACATACAAAGTAGAGGAAGATTGGCACAGATGTTAGCTCAGGGTGAATCTTCCTCAGCAAAAATAAATAAATAAATAAATGTAAAATTCAAACAAATTGTTCCTGTGAAATGATCAGAGTGTAATATCTCCTAAAATTGAAGGAAAGCTAACACTAATTCAATTGTGTACATTTTAATAACTACAGAGAGGCTTGATTTTATAATATAGCATCTGAATTTTGAAAACGAAAATGTTTTAAAGATCAGTTCAAATATGTGATTTTTAAATATATCTTATCACTTAATCTTGTTTACTGTATAACTCAAGAGTTATTGCAAAAAAATTAATAAAACTTTTATAATCTGCATTTTAACTAACAAATCATGAAAGATAGTTGGACATTCAGCCTCTATGCAGTCAACATGGACCCAATAAACCTAATGCTATGAACAATGTCTAGGCATAGTAAGTGCTTAATAAAATTTGGTTATTATAAATTTATATCAGGAAAGAAAATCTGTAGTGGTTTACTTGTTGAACACTTTATTGCTTTTACTTGATATCTGATGGATTAAAAGTCCATTAAATATCCCTAAATTTTGCACAACACAACTGCATTATAATTACAGCTGTCAGGTCACCATTGGCCATTCATTATTTTCATTCATCAAAACGGTTTCGATCATGATGACATCCTGTGGGATTAGGAATCTAATGGGAAAGAAAATTTCGAAAAAGTAAAGTTTGCAGAGTTGGACTCCTCATAAGAACAATATATTAAGAATGAAAAGTTAAAGCTGGTGTGGAGAAAATGGACCCAGAGGGTAAACTGAGGAGGGAGTGGTCCTTCTGGCAGTGTGACCCATGCCCAGCACTAGCTTTCTTTCATCTTGCTTTTATACTCCTCATTGCATAATCATAGCTATTTAGGGACTGTGCCAAAGCCGGCTGACAGCCATGTGTGGGTTGCCTAATTACAGTAAACTGAGCTTTGGCCACTTGGTAGCCAATTTTCTCTTTATAAAGGAAGGTCTACTGATGATTTGTATAATCATCATCATCATTATTAATACCTCAAAGGCAGCCCCACACAGAAGTGTTGAGAATTGGTGGGATAGGACATGGGCGGGTCCAGTGTGTACCTGTAAATACCTGTCATCACAGCACAGGCTCGCCTCTCTGAAGGCAGTTCTGGAGTGGTTTCAATCTGTTCATTCTTTCTCTTTCACATCCTAGCCTGGGATTTACTCTATATTTAACTTCTGCTCACCTCTCTGGAAGATTCTGGCCGGCGCCATGACTGATGAGGAGCTGTCTGCCTTGGTGGTGGACAATGGGTCAGGGATGTGCAAGGCAGGCTTTGGTGGTGACGATGCCCCCCGAGCTGTGTTCCCCTCCATGGTGGGGCGTCCCCGGCACCAGGGGGTCATGGTAGGCATGGGCCAGAAGGACTGCTACGTGGGAGACGAGGCCCAGAGCAAGAGAGGCATACTGACCCTGAAGTATCCCATTGAACATGGAGTGGTCACCAACTGGGACGATATGGAGAAGATCTGGCACCACACTTTCTACAATGAGCTCCGCGTGGCACCAGATGAGCATCCCATCCTCCTCACCGAGGCACCCCTCAACCCCAAGATCAACCGGGAAAAGATGACCCAGATCATGTTCGAGGCCTTCAATACACCTGCCATGTATGTGGCTATCCAGGCTGTACTGTCCCTCTATGCCTCTGGAAGGACCACAGGCATCGTGATGGATTCTGGGGATGGGGTCACGCACACTGTACCCATCTATGAAGGTTATGCCCTGCCCCACGCCATTCTACGTTTAGATCTGGCTGGCAGAGACCTCACTGATTACCTCATGAAGATCCTGACAGAACGAGGCTACAACTTCACCACCACAGCTGAGCGGGAGATTGTTCGCGATGTCAAAGAGAAGCTGTGCTATGTGGCCCTGGACTTTGAGCAAGAGATGGTCAGTGCTGCCACATCCTCCTCACTTGAAAGAAGCTATGAGCTCCCTGATGGGCAGGTGATCACGATTGGGAATGAACGCTTTCGATGCCCTGAAGCCATTTTCCAGCCTTCTTTTCTGGGCATTGAGTCCAACGGGATCCACGAGATGACCTTCAACTCAATCATGAAGTGTGACGTGGATATTCGCAAGGATCTATATGCCAACACGGTGCTATCTGGAGGTAGCACTATGTACCCAGGCATTGCCGACCGGATGCAGAAGGAAATCGTAACCCTGGCACCAGGCTCCATGAAAATCAAGATCATAGCTCCCCCAGAGCGGAAGTATTCCGTCTGGATAGGAGGCTCCATTCTGGCCAGCCTGTCCACATTCCAGCAGATGTGGATCAGTAAGCAGGAATATGATGAGGCTGGTCCTCCCATCGTTCATAGAAAATGTTTCTGAATGGGCTTCCACGCTAATGGGCTTACATTTTCTCTTTTTCTAGGTCAGAGTGATGGTACTGCTTTATCCACTTTCAATTGAGTCAAGGTAAATAGTCCACTCTTGCTAGTGTGTAAACCAACAAACTCATCTCCATCCAAGGATGGTGGCCTCCTGCTCAACTACCCACATCTTGACCTCTATCAACCTAATTCTGAAACATATTCTATTTTCCTCACCTATAGAGTTCAAAGAAATGTAGACCTCTTAAATGAAAGTAAGTAATGAGTAAAATCCTAAGAAATGTCCTCTCAGAATAGATAACTAGAATTTCCAAGCTGTAAAAACTAGTTCTTGCTTAAAATATTTAACAATAGGCTGTACAACCCTGTAAAAAATGTGTATGTATTTAACAAACATATCTTATGAGTATTTTCGCTTTATTTTACTATTTTGTGTAGATATCATGAATTATAAGGGTGAATAATATCCATATGTACATAAGTACCAGGGAAATAAAATATTATATCTTGAAATATACTGATAAATCTGGCTCTCTGAACAGCTAATGTGAATTTCTTAACTCCTTAAGGGTAACCATTTTAGTAGCTTCATATTTTAATTGTTCCCCTTATTAAATAAGCATAATGAAACAGCCAACATTCCATTAACGTTGTTTATAAATCAACTCAAATTCCAGCTCAGTGTGGAGTTCTGCTTGTCAAACACCTATTTTAAGGTCTTACTTATTGAACTTCATTCTACTTGTAAAACAGCAAAGCTACAGAAAACGCCTAACCTTTAAAATAGAGAGATATTCTAATATCAAATTCATGTCAATATGCTACAGTTTGATGAGAATAATTTTATCTCTATTTCTCAGCATAATAACACATCTTGAATAATTTCCATAGGCCATGATTTTGGATATTTCTCTTATCAAGGGTTTCACTGTGGGAAAACATAGCTGCAGCATCTTTGTAAATTATAAATTCTAGCTCCAGTATAGTGATTCCAATTTTATTCTTGGAAATATTTCAGAATAATTCCGATTTATTACATCTAGTAGTTGGCAATACTTCCTTATGCAAAGTGTCTCTAAGACACTAATATCTTAGAAAATATCAAGGTATCTTCCTTTAATGTTTAAAATTTTTTAATGAATTCAATGATGATTTTCAACGTACTAGTGTATCTATTTGAATCTATGCTGTGATTTTTGATTATCTAGATATCAGGGTTATTTGTATTTTTCAGGGTTTTTTCCTAAAAATTTAAAATATTTTGAGGGGTTGCTTATTAAGGCATTATCAGATTCCCAGGAAAGAGAAATTTCTTCTATTTCTTTTCCTTTTAGTTGGGAAGCTTATACTTGTGTTTTAAAATTCTAAATTGGAGTATTTCAGAATTTTGTGCTTAAGATAAAACTTTTCAAAGAATTTGATTGTTCCTTATTTCCTTTATCTGACCATACAATTTTTAAAAATGTATTTAACCAAAATTAATCTCCAAAGGCACTTTACTTTACAAGAGTTGGAGTTTCCTTTCCCCTTTAATTAATTTTAAATAAATTAAAATTGTTTCATACTTGCATTTCCTGTTATTTTCCCTCATCCTTCCCAAAAAAATATACCTAGAATGATTCAGAAATGATCACTTTTTATATGTATGACTTACTCATCCATGTATTATAATTTTGCACCTGGTACATTTGACCACGTAAACATTAAAAGGCAAATTTTTGAAAAAGGAAAGATGATTAGTCAGATAAGGTTATAAATTCCTGTAATCTCAATTCAAAAGTTGGGTTTAGTGGATGAACTGGTGTTCGGGTAATTAGTAGGCAGAGATAATGTCAGTAATAATAATATCTTGGATTTATATGCTGCAACACTTTTCATTTGCAGAGAAGTTCTCACACTCTAATCTATGTTCAAATACCAAAAAAAAACCAGATATCCCCTCTCACAGAAAATTTATGGGACAGGCAAGGTGAACTTCCAAGAGAGAGAACTATTGAGCTCTGAATCATTAGATGAAAATATGGATTCTATAAAGCAAACAGAAATTTAAACCAAGATTCTTTGGATATTCTCCTGTTCATCAACATTGACTGACTGATGGATAAATTTAAAAAGGAAACACTCCATCTCACACTTTTATATTTTAGAATGAATGCCACCTATTGACTTGTTATTCACCAGTGGCTCACCAGATGGAAGAGCACTGAGGTAGCCTTCACAGATGAATTTCATACCATTGTGCATTGTGATGCTCACTCTCCCTCGATGATCCACCCTAAGTAGCAATCTACGGCTGGGACTGCACCACAATCCTACCCAAACAACTTTTCCCTAATCAGAGGTAACACTTTTATGAAAGTGTACATGATCCGAAGCCAATGCCTACACTCTTCTTTCCTAACTTTCAGATGTACTTATTTTTCAATAGTGAGATAAAGTAGTGATGGGGTACAAGATGAGTCTTATATTCACAATTCTGTAATAGAGAAGGGCCTAGAAATGAGTATTACATTTTACAGACAATCGAAGAATAATCCTTCGAGGAAACAAGGGCCTTACCACATTTATTCACTCACTTTGCAACTATAAATTCAACGCTCTATGCCAGAATTGACTAGAGAAGTGTTTCAAGGAGCTGGGGGATGTACAATCCAGTAGTGGGGGAAACTATGTGCAGGGGAAAGCAGTATGATCTAAAAGCGGTTCATGGACTAAACATAGTCTAAGGTACTGTGATACTCCAAATAAGGACAGTTCAAGCTGGAGTAATCAAAGAAGGATCCACTGAGTTAAGTTTAAAGCACACACAAGTTGTACTGAACATAAAAATTTTCTTAGATGGCTCGGGCACCATTATGATCACTATTTATTGGGGTTGGTAGGGTGTTTAATTCTTATTTTGAATGTTTCCATTGGACTATGCCAGAGAGTGTAAAGAAGTGAATAACCTGTAAGGCTCAGTTCAAGTGTCTCCTCTTCCACAGAGCCTTTTCTACCTTTCCGTCCTCCTTTTCCAGGGAAAAGTAATAAGCCTCTCTTTTGTGCTTCCACTGCATTATTTGCATGCATATAGCATCACACCTATAATATGTGTCCACACTCTTCACCCTCACCCATCAACAAGCTCCTGGAGGGCGGAGACAGGGACAGTATTCATCCACCTTCATATCTTCCAGGATCTTCCTAGTGCCAGGCATATAGTATTAACTCAACAAACATGGTTTAAATAAATAAACTAGCGAATACATGGATTCTAAAGTACATCGTGAACATCTCAGGTCTGCATTATCTATTTCTTACCACTCTGTGCTAAGCTCCTTGTCTGCTAGTGTCTGCCACTTTTGTTGGTGTTGTCTTTCCTCAGAGGCATATTTTCTCTTTTTCCTTTCGTCCTCTCCTCTCTTTCCTTTTCCACAAACTTTTCCCATGCTTCTCAACATGAAGAGCTGGATTTTCAAAGTTTTTGCTTGTCAATAAAAGTTTCCCATTCTTCTGATTGGTCAAAGAATCAATTAACTTCATCTTTTGGAGTGGTTGCTAGCCATGTAGCTGCTGAAATTTTAGCCCAAAAAGAGAGAGAGAGAAAAAGAAAAAGAGAGAAAGAAAGAATGCCTTTTCAGCGAGTACAATGGTATATTGAGCTGTTCTAATCTATTTGCATTCTTGCTGATATTTTTCTTGTTTTCTCAGCTCCAAATTGCTCTAGAGTTGAGTTTCAGGCATCTGACTCCCTAATAACTCATACATAATAAATTGAAAAGTCTGCTTTTCTGGTAACTATTCACAGCCTCCTTTCAGAATTTACAAAAAATTTTTTTCAAAAAATGTTTTGTGAAGTTAGGAACGAAGCATGTGGTTTGCCCAATACTGCTTCCAGATGTTAATAAGTACAGGTGGACAGACTTTAGGGATATCTATGTACATATCAGTAGAGAGACTGCTCATTAAAATTAATTGATACTTTAAGACTTCCTTTAAAATATGACAGGACCTGTCTCAACTATAGCTGTCATTTTTTTTAAAGCTAACACCATAAGTAATAAAGACTATAGAGCCTTCTTGGGCTGCCTGCTTTGGTTTTCATCCCATTCCAAATCTGCTGTCCTGACCACCTTATAATTCTAAGTTCAGTTAAATCTAGTCAACAGATGTGCCAGTGTGATATGATGACAGATATTTTATCTAGACAACATCCTAACACCGCTTGAAAAATGGAAAATCTTATTTAATTGGTTATTTGACAACATGTAAGTCAAAAGCCAAGTTGTTCTCTCTGGAACTGGGAACAAGGCATTTGTAACTATATACACCCCATATGAAACAGTGTGTGGTGAAGGAGGGCAAAGATCCTCAGATGCAGTAAGGATTAAAGTTCCCACTCATATCGTCTTCATGCGTGTATTGCATAAGAGTTCTTCCTACCTATGAAGAGAGAAAGCCAGACCCCAACATGGTATTTCAATTTCAAGGCTCCTGCACATTCTCTGTGGCCCACGCAAAACATTCCCAGATACCATTCCCTATTCTTTTAATTGAGAAATAATAGCTACCCAATATTATTTATTTTTTCCACACCTGGATAATGAGGGAAAAGCTGGCCTCACCAGTGAAGACAAAGTCATGTTCACCAGTGGGAATGCTAGGCTCTTCTAGAGCAATTCACAGTGTTTTGGTTCATAAATGGAAGGTTTCCACAGAAGTATAAGCTTTTTATAAATCTTCAATTATCAGAGTAATTTAGGAGCTTATTTTATGTAAAATCTACAATTTCTAGATAATGAGTTGGTAAAACTCCAGAAGAAATATAGAACATCCTCCTATTTATTATAAAAATGGCATTAATTCAATGATGAGAATCAAAACATTATATCCTTGGCTAAATAGTCAATTTTATCAAAATGGAAGAAATTATTCAGAGGAAAATAAATACAAAACATACAATTTTTAAATTCTGATAGACTCAAGGAAACAAAAGATGAAGCAGAGAAAAAGGAAATTATATCAATGTAAAAAAGATGATAAATAACAATTGAAAAGAATATTCTTCCTCTTGGTCTCAGTACTACTTTATTAATGTTTGACACTAGGTATGCCACTTAGTGACTTGACTAATCAAGTCAAAATTACAAATAATAAAAAATAAAACTACCAAATCCTTTATGGCAGTGTGAAATACAAATCAACAAAGCTTTGTGACCGATTGAGATACTAGGGAGAAAGAGGACAGGGACAAAAGGAGTTCAGACTATAAATGATGCCCGTCGGAGTGTTCAAACCATCACCAATTTGAGTTGTCATTACTTCCATATTTGAGTCACCGTGACTGAAAATGGCAGCCCATCTGCTTGACTGCCCTTCAAACGTTGGCTCCACAAAGAGACTCTTACCATTCACAGAGTCAGGTAGGCAGGATGGGTATAGTAGACATTGATTGCTTCACTTGGTTTTTGCCTTGATTTTTAGCTAACCAGCAACTGAATGCTCCTTTAATTTAGCAAGAGTTCCTTTTGGTGTGAA